GCTTTAAAGATGAACTGACAACCAGAGACAGACCGGGTGATCTTTGAGCTTTAGAGGAACTGGCCACATGCATCGACAATCGACTGTTGGAGCGAAAACGAGAGAAACGAGGCAGGTACAACTCCTCACCAAGTTTCTGGAGAGACAAACGGGTCACTTCCTCTGTACCCAGCGGAGCTCACTGTGCTGTCCCTCCAGAGGAACCCATACAGATCGGCAGGACCAAACTCACCCAGGAAGAACACAACCGCAGAAGGTCAYGCAACCTATGCTTTTACTGTGGGGCTAAAGATCACTGTATCAGAGACTGCCCGTTAAAATGTCAGGCTCAGTACYATCCAGGAGAGMTCTACTGAGTCCAGTCAGTAAAAGATTTGAATTCTCCTCCATGCTTACCCTACCTGCTGATTTGTGTGTCGATGGTGTTAAACATCAGACTCAAGTTTTCATTGATTCTGGAGCTGACACAGAGTTTATTGATGAAGGTTTTGCTAAATCTTTGATGGTTAAAATTTTTCCCACCCATAGTGATCAGGCACCAGGAGTATCAGAATCCACCCCACTTTCCATGTGTCCAGAATCAAGCCTCAATGCTCCTCCAGATTGTGACCCCTTTCCAGACCCCCCCCACCCKCCCCCCGGTTCCTTGATGGAGCTCCAGCTTACACTGTGAAGAAACTGCTCCATTCCAGACGATGGGGTTGATCTGTTCATTATCTAGTGYATTGGAAGGGTTACGGCCCTGAGGAGGCCCATGAGTTCCAGCTAGCAACACTCTGGACAAGACTCTCATCAGAGATTTTRACAGGGACCATCCYGATCAGCCCCGGGTCCTGTCAGAAGCCAGAACCTAGGTTGGGGGCTCTGTCATGTTTTGGCTGCTCCATATGGTTCTCAGCTACTTGCCACCCACAGCCTGTTCTCCAGCTTCTCTGCTCACACCACGCCCCCTGCTTCACGGCCACAGTAATCACCTTCATCTGTTTCACCTGTTTTGCCTCCATACCCACAGACTCTCACTGCCAGATTATTGAACYGTTRGCCAAGTAGATGTCCAGCATTATTTCCATGTCCATGTCTGATCTTTCGCTCCTGACCCACTGCCTGTCTCCTGACCTTCATCTCCTGCCTGCTCCTTGTCTGATACCAARGCTGTTTCTGATCCTTGGCYTTCGAACCCGTTTCTGCCCCKTGGACACCTACCTGGACTGTGATTTGGATTTGTTTTTGGATTTCTGACCTCCCAGCTCTGACCTTGGACCACCCTRTGGATTACCGAAACCAGTCGYCCCCTTTACCCGMATCTGTACCCTCTCAGATCACCATCAGTTGTGGACTCACCTGCACAAATCGAACATATRGAAGMTCAGTAACCATTCCTTTATTCAGCAAATCCATCTRACCTTCTCCCYATATTCATCAGTGTTCTGCTCCACAGTGTGGTCCYCTTCGAGGGTCCAGAGGATCACTCACATCCAGCCCTTTAATAAACCTTTTAAATCTCTTTTTGTCTCCAGCGACTCTGAATCCAAAATGCACACCTGTCAGATGCAGACCTTATGGCTTGGAGCGTGTGATTGGTTAGAACTTTGTGGGTCTGTTTGTTCAAGAGAAACACAGCGGCGGTCCAGGTCCTCAGTGCTGGACTCAGATGTTTGTTTTGTCTGAAGCCAGTTGTTAAAAGAGATAGAAGAGCTGCTGGTTTGATCCTATTAAAGGTGTGCATGCAGCTGATTTTCARGTCTTTTTTCATCACCACCATTAACATAAAAAAAGTTTTTCYTCCATTGAGTGATTAAAAAAGAAACAATTTCCAGCCACCATTATTGCTGTTTATGTACTTATATGAGCTGTGGGAGGGTAGAGGGAGGATCTATGATCATTTATGGCCTGTCGTGTCTTTCATGTCAATAGGTTCAACCTTGCTGGGTTCATTTCTAAAAACTCACAGTGCTGCAGAATGTGGCCAGAGGCAGCTAAAAGTGGCTTAAAGAAGCCTAAAACTTTTAATTCAAAGAGTGCAGAYGAACTGTGTTTAACTGGTTTTCTTTAGGGTGAAGCATGTTGCTCTAATATTAAAATGGTTAGCTTTAAAACAACCTCAGATCATAAATACATGGTACAAAATTATTTTCATTTTAAAAGTCAGTAATTATTAAAATAAAAAAGTTTTAATCCTAATGGGAATCTTTTAAAATAATAAAACTAATTCCAGCTTTCTGTCCATTTTGTTCCTGTTTTTTTGTTTTTCCAGAATGAATTGGTGATGCAGCTCAAAGATAAGTTAAATTAAACATTTTTTTTTTAGGAAAGCAAGAGTAGTTAGATGCTAAAACTATGGATGGAGTAAAAAGAAACAAGGTTTAAATCCTTTGATTTCACTCACAAATTATTAATTCTGCCACTTGTGTTTCTTTGTTGTTCTCCTGGTCTTTGATGAGAGCTTTGTCCTCTTCTTCTTTCTGTTCGTCCTCTTCTGCTGTATCACTGTCTTCCCCACCCTGTTTAGAAGCCTGGTTCCTTCTTTTGGGAGCAGACTGGTTCTCCTCCACCTCAGCTTTCTCCAGCTTCCTTTTCTTCACAATCGGACAGCCCAGTGCACTATGGAAAATTAGACACAGATAAATAAATAAAATCGGCCAGAAAATGTTTAAATCAAGATTTTTTGTGAATCTATAGTTTTCAGATTTGATGTGAACAAATATTAATAAAGTGAAGTGAATGACCTTCCCAAAGCTCCGTCAACCTAAATGTTTTTTTTAATGTTGAGCCAGCAGCAGGAAAGTACTGAGCCCCTGAAGGGACAGTCGATGAAAAAAAATACTATGAAAAAATATATGTCAAAAAATACAATGTGATGCACAACAGATACTGTCTTAACTGTCAATGTGTGCAAACTGTCCCCCCTCTACCTCCTAGTAGGTTGGAAGGCACTTATCAATCATTTGTATGCCTGATAATATGCATTCAGGCGCAGTGGGTTTGACTCCTCCCCCGGGACTCGGAGCTGAAGCGGTTGGCCTGGCTCATGGTCCAACTTTGACCGGGGTAAGCACTTGATCTGCGGCATGAAGATCCAGGCTGTAGCCTGTGGTTGCCCTAGACCAGGGGTCTCCAACCAGTAGCTCATGAGCTACTGGTAGCTCCTGGGCTCATTTAAAGTAGCTCTTTAGGGCTTGTGAGAAATTAGGAGAAGCAAAATTTCATTTGTCACTGGCCAAACAAACTTTCATTTAACTCAAATCAATCTATAGATGTCCCTTCCCCTTGGTTGTCAAACAGTTTAGGGCTCAGTATGGTCGATCGGCAGACGACACACAGTTACGTGGCTGTTCGGCATTCGTTTTCACACACACCTTTCACAGCCTCTTGAGACAAACTGTGCCAAACTCCTGGGAAACCCCTCCTGCTGCGGTATATGTCATTGCAGGGGGTTTCTTCCCACTGGGAAAAAATGCGTGGAAAAAAATCCACCACCGTTATTTGTGCACAAATCTGTTGCAGTTAAACCCCAAGTTATTAGTGTAAAATACAATATAATACGAATGGATAATCACAAAAAGTACAATTATGTAAATTCTGTGTTCTTCGTAATTCATGTGAATTGAAGACAAAGTTTTTTTGTGCAAAACAAGCTTATTCCAATGGTTTAAGTTCAAAATTAAATGTTTGAAAAAGTAGCTCTCGGACAATTTCATTTTGTGAAAGTAGCTCTTAAGGAGAAAAAGGTTGGAGACCCCTGCCCTAGACATTGCTAACAGTTGCTAACAGACAGACAGCAGAGTTTTCCGGGTCTGCTCAGACATGTTTCAAACTCAAACCAACTGATCTCTGTGGTGCGATAAACATTTACTGAAACTTTCATGGGTTTTTAGTTTGGTTTATTTGACAATGGGAGAGGAGATCAATTGTAGAAAACCAAAATCCAACTATTAAACCAGCTGTGTGATTTGGCTCAAATTTCTGTCTGCCATAGCTCCCAGTGAAAGTTTCATCAAAACGATGTCATTTATTTATTTTCATATTTTACAGACAACGGAGTCCTGCAACAGGGGTGAGCCTACTCCACCGTCCCGTCCCCTCTTCTGTTGTCCAGGAAAGACAGGAAACAGAACCACTAGAAGCATTTGAAGCAGGTGCTGTGATGTCGGGCAAGGAATGCAGCAATGTCTTTGTCTGGCAACCCAAACTGGAAATAAAGCTCAAAAATATCACTTTCCACTTCAATGAACAACTAGTCTGACACATTCAGAAAGTTCCTGTGAGTTATCTGACGTGTACCACTTGGTAAATGGTCTGAACTCATATAGCGCTTTATCAAGCTCACTTTGACCCCAAAGTGCTTTACACTTCAGTCATTCACCCATTCATACATTCACACACTGATGTTAGTAAGCTACATTGTAGCCACAGCTGCCCTGGGTACACTGACAGAGGCGGGGCTGCCATGCCATACAGTATCTGGTGTGTACAAGGTTTTATAT